TGTGTACACTATGTAAAGCAGGAACCTTCACCGTCTATTGTGCATTATTTCATATTATGCTGCATGTTACTGCTTGTCAAGGTGCTTTTAAAATGTTCAAGTCTTTCTCACTGTTAACTCCGTTTGTTGCACTTTTCTTTCCGCATCAGGAAAAGTGCAGACATCACTTTTTACCACAACTGGGAGGATACACCTGGGCAAGTTGCTAACTGTACTGTGAAGAGCTGCTTCAGCACAAGCTTCAAGCTGTGGAGTATCTCCCAAATTACTCCACAGATGCATCCCACTCTGATAACTTGTATGTGAATGATTGAAACGGTATACAGTGAGGTAGATTCAAAAAGACCAAAAATTGGGTGAGTTGGTGTGCTTTTAAAGGTGGTGACTTCTTTGAAAAATTGCACGAAATGTCTCAGTGCGATGTTTCGTCCAATCATCAGAGTGCCTGGTTGAATAAATGCAATTTGTCAAAGATCTGTAAAACAGCGCGAGAGATTAAAAAAAAAGAGGGGGGGGGGGAGACCGGTCATGGCTCGGTTGTCTGTGTTGTTCTTTGACTGGTCTCTAATTTTCATGCTACTTTAAATTACAAATCTGTTGTACTAACATACTAACGGTGTAACAATACCTTAACAGAATGAATACACACTAAGAAAAACAAATAGACAATGTGCAACGTTCTTTCAGTGGTGCTTGTTACAGAGTAATGGACAACAGGCATGCTATTTTAACCTTTTAGCACACAGAAAGGAAAACGAGTGCAGCTCTGAAAGGTTTCTATGATACTTTAACCATCGACACCATCCTTTCGGCTTTAGGAGTGGTTAGCGAAGTGGAACAGTGGGCAGTATTTTTTATCTGCTTTCCTGGGTATAACAACTTGTCTGAATGCTTAGTTTGTCACCACTGTCCTTTCATGTTCGAACATGTTTCATGTGTTACTTTCACACATTTGCTCTCTTGGCTGCTGTTTGTAACCTTGTGATTATCACCCTTGCAGTCACTCTCGAATGTATTGTGGTTTGAGTAACACTGTACCTTGAAAAACACACAATAGTTCTTACATGGTGCTGATAATAAAGGCCATTCAGCAAATATTGTTCGGAGGTAATGCGAAGCCTTAGCCTAAGCTGTATCTAAGTTGAATTTTACTTCCATTGCAGCATTGCCAGTGCACTTCATGCTGTCTGCAGTTTTTAAGAAATGAAATGAGTCGTAGTTTAAGTGATGAGTGTGGACATCAGCAACTGTGGATTTGGATTTTCATCATGACTCCAAGGCAATCCACTCCTACCTAATCTTGTTTGACAGTCATTCAGAGGATCGATTTGCATATTTACATTGAAATGTCGCAATTAGCTCCTATTTTAAATGTATCAACAGCTTTTGCTCATCACATCTTTAATCCACAGAGTCAGTTCTGGGGAAAAGCTGTTCGGAGATGTGGCGCTTGAAGTGGGGAGGGAAATGTCAATGGTTACATGTGATTAGTTCTGAAAACATATTCACTCAAATAAAAAGCTTCCTGGAAGTATAGTTAATTACAAGTTCATTGTTACCTTGAAGTCTGGTTGATGCCAAGAGTAAATGTTTGGTAGGTGGTAATGTGAGTGTTTGGGCCAGCTTTAACAGTGATCTCTGTGCTTTTGCAGATGCGTCCATTGCCACTGCGAAGCATCCAAAAGGTTTCTTGCTTCATTGTCAGAACTTGCATCGCATCAACATCTTCGAAGAAATAGTTCACTCCTCTGCCTTTTTATATTGCTCTTTGATTTATTTGGAATTTGAGACTGTGACAGGAATGTGCTAAGGTGTGCTTGCACCCCTAGGTCTGGTTGTTTACTTCGAAACAAAATGAGACCACATAATTATTATATTTTTCTCTTAGTCTAATTAAACTATTAATAAAAAAATAGAATTTCACTGGTGTTCAAATATTGGTCAGCATGAAAGAATTGTGCCTTTCTGGAGAAAGCATTCATTCAGGCTAGGCAGTTGCTAATGAATACTTTTGTCCCCATAAGGCTGATCAATTCAAATCTTCATGAGGTGTAGTTGAAAGAAAAATATTGTAAATTCTGCAGCACTTGTTGGTAGGTCTTTACTTTTCTTTTGCAAAAGTACATTAACAATGCCTTTCATGTAAGTTTAAAAATGTCTTTTGTTACTTTATTATTCGTTTGGTCCTGTCATCTATTGCATTTCTTTTCTTGTGTTTTCCAGTCGATAATATCAAAGTAAGATTTACTTGTTATGTTGTCTTTACCATGGGACCATCTGAAGAAACTGAATGTACTTTAATGTGGCTGTGTTCTTTTTGGCCAACAAAAAACGTACTGTTTTCGCTCTGACAAATTTCTTCTACTCTAGTCACGTTCATGCCTAAAATACACGTAGTGCTTTGTCATGTTGATTTGGGCATTGCTTGTCGTAAAGCTTTCATTAATCAGGCATGCTACAATGGCTTTCCAACTCTGCTCCACCTTCAGTGAACAGCCATTGTATTTATTCAGTATTAGTGGTTTTGTATGGTAATAATGTGAAATATCTACTAGTGTGGGGGTTGTGTAGTTGAAACACTATCTGATGAATAAGTTACCTTTAGCATTTCATTGTATTATTGTGCTTTCATTGAAGCAATACAAAAATAAAAGACAAATGTATAAGCTCTGCTGCCACATATCGAGCAAAATTTTGTGCTTCTCACAAAAATTTGCATGTTTTTTTTTCTTCCACCAGAAACTGATGCCGTTCTAGCCTTCGTAAATGTTTATTTCGTTTTTCACACATTTCAGTTTGTTGCACACTGCCTTCTTTCACTTGCATTCTATTTCATATTGTTGATGTGTTCACTTGTCAAGGGATGCTTTTACAGCGCTGCATTGTATAGGCACTTCTTTATGCAGAGGTGCAACAGCTGCGCCAATTTGATACGATTCCCCATTATTGCGCCAAAACCATGAAGTTGGCCAAAATCGTGCCATGCTGCGCCAAAATGCCTGACCAGCCTCACAATTTTCTCAGTTGCGCTAATTTTGCCATGGTGGCCGCCTGTAGTTGGCGTCATCAATCAACCCAAGGATCCAGGTGCGCAGACCATAACCCTGTGTAGCACTTCGAAAATTTCTTGGCCTTGTTGCAACTCGGGCAGAACGCAGTACACTGGTGACCTGCGGAAAAGTGCTGTAAGATTCGGACGGGGCTGTTAGTACTAGTCACGGGACACAGCACTGCTTGTTGAATTATTTATGCGTGTATACGCCACATAATTGTGAGTGCTAATATGACCGCTGACGTCTAACAAAGTCATGGCAATAATTTTTTTTTTTTTTTTGCCACCTCTACTTTTCAGTTTTACGAATCTCCCAAATCTCAATGTTGCCAGCATGACACATTCACATTTAAATCCTCGGAGCTTGTCAAAATATTTGACAGGCGTGGCAAATGCCTATGTAGACTTTATTATTGTTTGTTTAGTGGAGTGCTTTAAAATACTACTTTATTCAAATACTAGTGCTCATATTCACTCTGTATGATTGAGGGATAATGAATGGTTTGTACATATTTCTTCTTTGTGCATACTTCTTTTTTATGCTATTCCAAATTTGGTCTTTTGTGATAAAAAAATTAATGCTTTCTGTACCGCAACCTGGTTCCAATTGAGATTTTAGTGCTCCAACAATAAGATTTTGCTGCTCTGAAAATTGCACCTAATTCTATTTTGACTGCTGCATCCCTGTTTATGGAAAGAGGAATAATTGATTTAATGGTTTAGTGCTTAATTTAGTGGCATATATGCAGAGAATTCTGGCTGTCATCTAAGGATAGTGGCAGAATTGCATCAAGTTGGATCTTCATACACTTAAACCTCATTGAAACGAAGTTGCATCTTGCACGAAAATAAGTCTGTTATATCCGAAAATTTGTTATAAAGGTATAATTCTTACACTATATTGCAACACTTTTTGTCAAATACTTCATTATGACCAATATTTTGTTATATTGGAATTCGTTGTAACGAAGATTGAGTGTATATTGGTAGCAGGTGTTCACATACGCTAAGCAGAGTAGTTATGTACAGACAGACTCTTGTGAGACATATAGTGAGTCAGTGCCTCATTACCACAATAGTTGCTAACTAAGCACAAAAGTAAGCAAGCTGTAACGTATTCATCTTAACCAGAGAGCATGCCCTCAGCACACACAGTAACAGGGAGAAACACAACAGTAATATACAATACATACTAGCATTGTTTGGACTGTCCAAGGTTATTATGAGATTCTCTTGCAAGTGAAGCAAACCTTGTTAACCTAGAACTGCAGTCCAGTACTATAGATACTCGAATCTCATTAAAACAAAGTCGTGACTGCCTGCCACAAAAATAACTTCGTTATTTCAGAAATTTTGCTATTAAGATAGTTTGGTAAAACTGTATCTATGGCAAGACTACTTTTAATTTACTTTGTTGTAACCACTAATTCATTATATTTTGGTTCATTATACCAAGGTTTGAGTGTAGTGTGTGGTTCATGAATTGCATCGCCTGCCTGTTCTTCCTGTGGCTTTGCAGGTTCCTCTTCGGTGGCATCCCTGGTGGAGTACGAATCACTCGTGTCGTTTCAAGACGGACTGCATTCCTGCCGCCAGTGCACCTACGTGACCAGCGAGAAGAGAGACATGAATCGTCACCTTCGCAAACACACGGGCGGGCACCCGTTCCAGTGCCAATTCTGTCCGGCCGGGTTCGACAGAAACAGCAATCTCGAAAAACACGTCCGCACCCACACCGGCGAGCGCCCCTATTCCTGCGAACTGTGCAGCGCCTCCTTTGCGCAGAAGGGCAACCTCACGCTCCACATGCGCACCCACACAGGCGAGCGTCCCTTTTCTTGCCCCCACTGCAACACGTTCTTTGCGCGAAAGTACCGCCTCGTGCTACACATGCGCACACACCAGGGAGAGCGTCCGCCTTTTTTGTGCGTCCCTTGCAATCGGCCCTTTAAACAGAAACAGCACCTCGTTCAGCATCTGTCCCGTTGTACTGCAAACAAGAACCCGCAAAGGTCAGGGATGCACGGACTTTTCTTTTAGACTTAATGGATTAATTGTTTTCTTTGTTTTTTTATGATAGCAGGTAATGTTTACAGTTCCTCGAAATGTTTTGTACCAGTCTGCTATTCAATTTTTGACTGCTGAGAAAGCAACATGGTATTGTCAATGATAAACTGTTGAGTGCCTTCCGCTGACCCTACAGCTATGCCAGGATGTCAAAGGCTTAGTTTGCCTTGGTATTGTTTGTGGATAATGTAGTCTCGTGCCGGGAAGCTCAGCATATGGAAGAAAGCATTTCATTGCCTATCTTGTGAAATAGCTCTGCCCCACGTGTTAGTATGACCAGGGTAGCACGGCCCTTCTTCATTTATTTTGACAAGATGTGGCGCTAGGAAACACTAGCACTAGAAATCCATATTTTTGTGTGTCCATCTCCTAGTGCATCTTTCTTTCTAGTGTCCGTGTTTCTGTGCACGTCATATTTTGTCAAAGTGAACGAGCACCGGCTAGTCCAACTAGCCACACTGCTGCTTTGTTTTCATCTGCAATGGTGAGTTGGCACATTTGCTGATGAGCTTATTCCAACAGTGTCAAGCGTAGCACGTCACAAAAAGAGCCAGCTGCGTGTTTGTTTATACAACCATTTTCTTAAGAGTTTTTTCTGTAAGCATGTCATTCGTATATTAATCGAAGAAAACTGTAAAGTTTAAATCTGCATGCCCTGAGTCGGCAATGCAGATATAGCCAGGTAAAACCAGGACTCTATAGAGACCAATAAAATGTCGACAGATATAAGTGTCCTGTGTTATTTTTCTTGCCATATTCTTTGCTTTGCACTGATTCATTGGCATTTTCAGTGGTTTACAAATGTCTGAAATTGTTTTGAAGACGAAAAATTCGAATGCTGCAAGCAAAGTAGAAGTGTGGTGCAACTAATTTTTATGTGAACTAGTTGTTGCAGAAATTGTAAGGTCTTCTGCCTTGGGGAGCGTGTCGGATGGCAACACCATTGGATCAGAATAGGGAGGGGACGTGCAATTCATGTTGGACTAGAAATCTGCATGTATGTACGAGATGAGGCCAATAGCGAACATTCCACATTTTGAAAGCATGCTGGGCACCTTGATGCACTGGTTTTTACAAAGGAGACCTTTACCGTTGTGTAAAACACTCGAAGCATTCAAATATGCTTGTTTGCATGTTGTGTAGCCTTTAAGATGTTCTACCCTGCCTTACAAAGCATGTGCTTGGGGTGTTGTGTTTGTATCACCAGGCTTCAGTACTAAAAGATGAGCTTGCATTCCACTAAAAGAGCATATTTATTTAGCCTGCAAAATCCACATCACCATTTCTTCAGTTCATATTCTGTTACTCACTTTTAGTCATGTGGGTTAGGTGACTATGGCTGTGTGTAAGACGGGCAATCCAAGTTTGCAATGCTTGTGCCAAAATGGCAGTTCGGCTGCGAAAAACAAGTGTTCTGTAAAAAAATTAACGCAGGCAGGTTGCTTTTGTCAACAATATCTGACAGCATGAGAGAGAGAGAAATAACATTTATTTGCACCTGTCGAGAGTCACGGGAAGAGAGGCTTTGGCCTCTGTCTCCAGTTCATCCACCTAGCCATCGGCGGGAATTTCTTGGGACTTGGCGGCACTCAGAATGAGACTGATCACTTGACATCCTTTGGCGTCATGGCTTCATAATAAGGCCTCCCAGGATTCTATGTTTCTGCTTGAATTATTGTAGGAAGGGCAGGTCCAAACTATGTTTGCTAGAACTGCAGTGCGCACATCTGGGATGCAACACTTCTGGGTGCCATTTATTGTCAAGTGATGGTTTGGAAACACTCCAGTTTGTAGTTTATGCCACATAACTTTCTCTCTTTTTTGCTGAGCTCTTTAGCTGCCTCTGGATAGATGTTACGATGGGATTTATAATGCGAAGTGGTTTCATTAAATTATATTAGTTTGTCTCTTGTGGAGAGAAGTTTTTCGAGTGGAGCGGAGCCAGAAATGGATTAGGGGTGGATGTCTGATGTTCCTTTATGTATACTTGTGTGCGTATTGGTATGTTTGTATGTATTCACGTACATAGGAAATGAAAAAGTTTGGGGAGGATTTGCCCCAATTCAATAATTGAAACTCAATTAAAATCTGTACACTCCTTCATAGTGTGGTTCATGTGGTTATCTTGTGTCCTAGCTGAATGTTATAGCGCACAGCCTTCTTTGTTCACTGTTCAGATAAAAACAAGAAAAGGTGATTCAGTCTAAATATAAGATGCGCTTCTGGTTTCACAGAGGCTTTGCAAAATGCGGCATCAAGGCCCGCCTCAGTTTTAATTTTCTCTGTGATGCTATGACTGGTACTAATGACGATGAATTTTGGCTTAGCTCATAGTTTCATATGATTATACCCATTGTAACCACTAGTGTACCGAGAATTTTGGGAAGGGAGGGGAGAGAGAGTGGGGCTTAAGCATACTTTGTGTGTTTATGTGTGTATGTGTGTGCGTGTACATATACACAAGCAAAACTGAAAAATTTCAGGTTAAAAAAGTTGTGCTCCCCCCCCCCCCCCCTTGCTTGCTTGGCTATGCCCATGATTGCACCAAATGGGCAGCTTTAGATGATCAATATGCAATTCATGTGGTGTAACACATTTATGCCTCGTAATGTATGCATTGCTGCTAACCTGACTTCTTGATCAGCCGGAGCAATTTCAAGCTTAATTCATGGCTATGGTAAGAAGGTTGACCTCCACGTAGAGCGCACATGTTTAAACTGAACCAGAACCCACGAATTTCATTCTCGTCATACATAATGGGTACGACCATGGAGTCGGTAAAAACACTCGAAGAGAGCATCACACGATAATCTTGAATCCTAACCCCATGATTCGCAAGGACTACTACTGGTCAGCTCACTTTGGTTTTGAATTTTGAATCTCGATTTTGATTTTGTTTTTCTGCAGTATGTTGCTGAGGGCATATTGGTCACCACACTGAACATCACTTGATGCAGCTCATGAAAAATCATTGATTACAGTCTCTTTACTACTGACTAGTTTCATTTACGGCTTGGGAGAGCTACAAGAGCGACAAGCCACTGTGTGCAGCTACCACTATGTAGTGTGTGAAATGGCAAATAGAACGGTGTTGCTTTTCTGCACTGCCTGCATCGTCTCTGGCATTCTTTCGCCCGCCACTTGTGCTGTGTTGTCGTCTTTTTTGTTAATAACATCATCATCTGGTGGCGACAACTTTCTTGAGGCTTCCAGGCTTTTTCCGTGGGCGCCGGCTCGTGAGCAGCCACGCAATTGTAATTTGCTGGTGCAAATGCAGAAAAAGCACAATGGTGACTATGATGTCATCACAATAGCTGTACCATCTCTATTTCCTGCAATGGTGACATCTCAAAAGCTGGGGTTCACCATCAGGTCACCTTAGATGATGACAATATCACGAGATGCGATGTATAGCTCCAGATAATGTACACATACTTATGAATTCATATACATTCCCAAACTGTATTTATTGTTGAAATTAGGTAGATAATATGCAAAAGTTCACGGAAATCGATTCAGCAGGCTATTTCAGCCTCCAGATTTTGCCCAGCACCGCTTTAACACCTCGAGCAATGTTAGCTCAAGCAGGTAAACATTGCTGGATCCATATTGGTAGTATTCTTCTACCGCATGGATACATGCTCTGTGAAATCAGTGTTGTGGAGTGTGTTCATGGTAATCAGCACCATCTAAAAATAAGGCAAAGAAAGAACAAGTGTAGAGGAGGCTAGCTGGAAAAGGATGTGGAAAGATCAGCTAATTAAACTACATGTACTAAGTTAATTAACTATGATGTGTAGTCATACATTCAAGCACGAGAACATGCCACTCGATGACCTCAAATGTTCACTTTTACAATGCTGGACCCAAGAAACAGCATATCTTTATTGTCAACATCACTGTAAACAAATTAGAGCGACTTTTCACTCCTTGAACTCTGGGAGATACGCTAGCAAATGGGTGCCAAACAAACTGCCAAGAGAGGCTAGCAAAGAAATACCGCTTATCCAGACCTTTCCCGTTCTTCCCCTCTGGTAACACGATTCGCATCTGCATTGCGGTGTCATGTTACAGCAACATAGGCCCACTGCTTCATGTGTGGCTGTTTGTGGCATCTGTGAGACATCTTTAAGACATCTGTCAGACATTGTCGAAACATATGTGAGACATCGTTGCGATAAACAAAGTTTGAACAAATAATAAAATTTCATTCACTGCATTTGTACCATTTCTTTCCCAACTTTATTGATCCAGCAGATATAATGACTTATTCAGTGTCTTTTAGTTCTGCCTGTGCAGTCTTTCACATGCTGTTCATATTAACCGACAAATGTTTTAACAAAATTTGTGACTGTCCGGTTTTGTTGTTTCTATACAAAAACACCAGCAACAGCACTGAAGACACGCTCTGTATGCTTGCAGGATAGGTCATCGTTATACGAAGATGGGTACATGAAATTGTGCTTACTTACTGAATCATGTGCATCTGTGTCTTCCTTCCTCCTTTAAATGCAGCACTCAATTGCTAAGACTTACAGAAGGCTTTCTTAATGATCCAGCAAAACGTAAGAAAAACTGCCTATGCTTGATTTTCCAGATCTATGTCCAGTGTAGCCGTGGTGTCTGAGCCAGCAGCATCACTGTTTAAAATAGTTCACCCACATGGTTTGCTAGGCTAAGTAAGCAAATGCTGACCACATTTGGTTGTCTGTCATTTCATAACCTATATTTTGCTACATTGCACTAGTGAAGATGTACAGTTTTTATTTCCTAGTTATTAAACTCAAGTACTCAAATTTGAGTTGCCTAATTTAGAGCTCGTATATTCCAAAAATAACTTCTTACATTTAATTGACTACTGAAAATATAGTGACTCGATTACAAAACAACTATAGAATGTCATTTATCTAGGAATTTCTAATGGTTGAGCCTGGTTGATGCAAGTATGTGTTTGTACTGCGAGTGTTAGCGTTTATTATAACAATGGTCTATGGGTTGTTGCAGATGTGCCCATACCTACTAAGGAGCAACGAAGTTGCATGCTTTGGATATTGCCAGAAATGTATTGCACCAGGTTCTTCAAAAAAATAATTTGCCATTATATTGTTATTTTTCATCTTAATTCATTATGCACTTGAGAGTGTGACTGTGATACGGCCATGTTTAGCATCGACAGCTGGCTTGGATTGGTTATTGTAAAACGAGTGGAACTTGCTACACTTTTTGCACTGTTAGTCTATCATGAGAGCTGTAAAAGTATTACAGGTTTCGTGGTAGCATCTAAGTTGAAACCGTTAATGTAAAGAAATTGTGCCTGTCTTACAAAAGTATCTGTTCACGCATACTCTTGCACTTACAAGTCGGTTCAACTATGCAAATATTCACGCAAGAGTACCTGCGAGAAACAATTTTGTTAGTTAAGAAACTCATGGTAGAAATTCAAGGTTACTAGGAGGCTTGAATTTATCAGTAGTTGCCGAACAGTTTATGTTGCTGCAGTGGCGACTCCTGTTTTGATGAAGACCATGTTGAAATGTCGACTCTGGCGACATTTGTTCAACGATTTCTTGACACAGCACTGGAATTTTGATTTTACACGGTATCGGTATCGACAATAACGCTTAAGTTACTGTACTTCGGGAATGTGCTACGTCATTATCCGTTTTGCCCTGTAGAGCTTTTGAGTTAGTATTTTTGTCTCGTGCTTTCAATTTGTCAAAATTTTAATGTTTATGAGAATGTACTGACGTTGTTCCTTTTCTTGCACTGCCACTAGTGGAGCAACAGCCATATCTTAAATCAACCTAGATGTTTCTGTTCTCTCTTCTGCCATGAAACGGTGCACCTTTCTTAAGGGGGCAGACTGGTCTTAGACATTTTTTTGTTTACTTCTTCAGCAATCTTGATCAAACTGCACATGGTTACACAGTTTTTTCTACTGATTTCAAATGTTTTATTAGTTTTCCTGTAACTCATCTTGTTCCTGAGATAACTTAAGTTCACCCCTATTGTTTAAGGCTGCCATAAAAAAAGCTTAATTAAAAGTGATATTTAAAATATTCCAACATACAATAATGACTACAGAGTGAAAGTATACAAGAGTTTTTTTTGTTGTTTTTAGGCCTTTATTGGTTATCTTACAGCAAATTGAACTATCCATTTTCAAAAGCAGTTAAAATTGTTGTATAATTTTAATGAGTAATTAATTAATAAGGCTTGTGCTCTAAATTCTGCTCTTGTACTTGCATTCTACACACATACAGGTTTCCATTGCAAAAAGAATTATTGTTGTACCTGCCCTAGCTGCAGAGATATTGAAGCCTCAAAAATGAACAGTCGTAAATTTACTTTTTTGAGAAAAATGTAAAAAACTGAAAACACACAGCTTCTTCAAAAAGCACCAACCATGGTGCGCATGTTTTGCAATCCTCATAAAGGTGCTCATAAATTTGTAGCAGAGCTTCTAACACAGGTGCCGGCCATTTATAAAGAAGCCTCAGTCGGTTCTTTCCCACCTTTTTTTTTGCAGGTTCTGCATGTTAACAGCACCAAAAATCTGGACAGTTAGAATGACATTACAAAAAAAATTACCTCTTCCTGGTGTGTGAAAATTTGCAGAGAGATAGCAAATACTTGCAGAAAACAAATATGTCAATTTTAAAACATAAATTTTTTTTGCACTTTTTGGTACCCAAGACCAGTCTGCCCCCTTAATTCAATAAATTCTTCTCTGTGCCATTCCTTTAGTTAGCCCTAATATGCATGCAGTGCATTGTGTTCTTGAGTGCATTGTGCAGTGTGACATATCCAAAGTGCCTTGACCATTTAAGCATGTCAATGCAGCCTTCCAAACATGGCTTTTGTATAGAGATTGTCTTTATTCATTACGAGGAGTTAGATATTCTAATGATCAGGTGCAATGTGCACTAACTGTGTGGATGCGAATGAAACACATTATCACGTGAATAAGTCATCTATCGTATTCCGTGGTTTTATTGTGCTTTCAATTAAGCAGCAGAGGGACTGTAATGTGAAATGTGTAAACTGCATCAGCACTTATAAAGAAAGTATACCGTATGCAATGCAAAAAATATTCCTGTATATATTACTGTTAGAACTTATAGTGCCATTTTATTCCTTCCGTGTGTATTTTGTTTTCATATTCTTGTTTGTTTTATATTAGCTTCTTTCACTTCTATTTTATTTCATGTGCTTCTTGTGTTGAAGTGTAAAGTGGTTCTTTTTGTTGTGGACTATTCTAGATACTTCTATGCAAGAATATATGTATATAGGTTAAAGGGCATTTGCCTAAATTATTAATAATTATACAAATAATTCTGCCTATTTAGCTATACTGTCAGAATCGCATCCGAATTGTATTCTACATTTGGCACTTGGTCTTTGCATGTATCAAGCATAGCACTTGTGTACAAAAAGATGGGAATTTTGATAATAAGACGCACAGAGGGTCAGTGCGTTGTTGCTGTAACAGTAGTAGTAGTGTGGGGTGGGTAGGGCAACGTAATCTCGTACCTCACTTAGATATGGAGCAACTATTGTTGATTAGGCGTTGCTACATTCCAGTTATGCACCAGTGTCAACACGTCATTCGCATCGCCTTCTTGTGCTTTCTGTGGCTTCGCAGGTTCCCCATCTTTTGCATCCCTGGAGGCGTACTTTTCACTGATATCCATGCAAGAGCAAGCATATTCTTGCCGTCAGTGCACCTACGTGACCAGGGACAGGGCAAATATGAGGAGACATGTTCGCGTACACACGGGCGAGCGCCCCTTTAAGTGCCACTTGTGCCCGGCCGCGTTCACTCAGAAATTCAACCTCGTGGCTCACGTGCGCACCCACACGGGTGAGCGCCCCTATTCCTGCGTCCAATGCGGCGCGTCCTTTTCGCAGAAACAGCACCTCGGCACCCACTTGCGCACACTGGGGAGAGCGTCCCTATCACTGTGACAACTGCAGTTCGTCCTTTTTGCAGAAGACGCACCTCGTTGCCCACATGCGCACCCACGGAGGGGAGCGTTCCTTTCCCTGTGCACACTGCAGTGCGACATTTGTGCAGAAACAGCACCTCATTAGCCACATGCATACCCATACAGAAGAGCATTCCTATCTCTGTGTCCACTGCAACGAATCCTTTTCACTGAGAGACACACTCAACATACACATGTCCCATTGTCTTGCAAAGAAGCCTTAACAGTCAGATGCAAACTTTGTTTTTGTGGGGAGGCCGCTGAATTACACTCAAACCTCGATATAACGAATCTGGATATAGCGAAATATTTGTTATGATGAAGTAAATTAAAGATAACCTTGCAATAAGTTAGAAATATACCTTTATAACAAATTTTTGGATATAACGAACTTATTTTTTGTGTAAGATTCAACTTTGTTATAATGTGGTTTGAGTGTGATTGAACATTTTCATGGTGATAGGTAGCTTGTAAAATTTGTACAGAAGTGGTTTTTGGAGCACTCAGTCACTGAGTAGCTTTTAGAATATCGCTCTTGAAGAAGTCTGACATTGTTAATGAGAGATTTTTTTTTAGAAATGTCTTTTGTTGACCTTGCAGCTATGCCAAAACTTTAAAGGCTCGCCCAAATTTAATTTTGATTGGCTACAGAAGCATACATGACTCTACTTGCTTTGAAAGGACCCTCAAAGGAAGTACCATTTTATGTCAGCAGGAAAAATTAGTGTTTGAGAACATCCGTAATGTCATTATACACAGTGTTTTATTAGTTGACAAATAATGGGTGTATGGTTTGAAATGGCTGTTGTGGCACAATCATGCCTATAGTATTATGTTATAATCATCATCATTATGTAATATTTAAGCATTATTCTGTTGCATGTACATTTTGTATTGATTGTTGTTATAGTCTTATTGTTGCATTTTGTTATATTTTGGTTATAGCCCTTTTATTCTACTGATAAATTTTCTTCTTTCAAGTAATGATAACTCTGCTTTCCTTCTCGCCCAATGCCTTCTTGGAGTCTTGTAAAATACTTGTAAATAATTCAAATAAATATAAGACATTATTTGTGCCACCAGTGCGACATTGTGATACAACCCTCATGACACAGTAGGCGCTTAGTACATTAATCACATTTACTCAATTTACCGAACAAGAATACTTTGGCGCTTTACTAGCTGTTGCTTAAAAAAATATTTCCTTTCTCAAAAAAAAATCCCTTGATGAAACTTGCAATATAAGGAGCACTATTTGTTTTTGATTGAGCTATAAAGCTGATTTGTAATTGGAACTTTACACAGTGTAAGTTGTGCATCTCATTGAGGATTGAAATAAAGATTATCTTGTATTTGTGATTTCTTGCGGAATTTACATAATTTTGTGGTCAGCAAATATTTTTACCCCACAATATTCGTTCAGAAGAGTTACTATTGAGTGCTCAGCTATTCATACATTACTCAAATATACAGGGGGGGGGATGATTAAATAGAATATTTTGGCAATGTTTAGGCTGGCATATATTGACCAAAATATCCAGTAATGTAAATAAAATAAAACGCCTTACATGAATGCCTTTGTTCATTACGTAAACCAGATTTTGTGCGGAAATCAGGAACGATATTTTCAGAATAAGTTTTCAAGGAAATATCACTTAGGTGACATTTTGCAAAATTCTTAAGGTTTCCTGGGTGACCAATGAAATTTTCTCTCAAAAACAATGTAGTAATTCACTGTTTTCAACGCAATAAATTTGTACAATGAAAAAAAAAGTACATTTGGCATGGTTGCTAGAATGGCTGGGGTATTCATCCTAGAATGATCCTAGACTGCTATATATCATTCACTTTTTTTTTCAGTAATTTCCTCGATCACTTGGCCTGACTGCATCATAGGCAGAGACATGGCCATGGGTTGATTTGACTGTGTGTTGCGTACTTACCATGGGGTGCAACCTGGTACCCATGCGGCGCTGTATACTGCAAGAATTGCCCACTATAGGCTTAGACTAGCACGCTCTTGTTCACACTTAAAGTGAGTCAATGCGTTCAATACAAGATGTGTTCTACAGGAGGCAGTGCTCAAAATCATGGCATGTGCTGCTGTATCTTCTTGCCCTTTTATCATTTCCTTTCTGTCGCTTCCCATGCACTCGAATGGGGAATGATGTTGAATGCTGGAAAATGTGCATTTCTATGAATAACGCGCAAAAAACATTTCTTCAACTCCCAGTACTTTTTGCAGAACACTTGTATTGCAGATGTTGGGGAGTACAAGTACTTGGGCCTCACTTTGAACTCTAATTTATCTTGGTCATCCCACGTAAAACGTATTTGTTCTGCTGCATTTACTAAGTTGTGTTTTTTGAGACAAAAATTAAGGCATTCTCCAAGTCACGTTAAGCTTTTAGCCTATGAAACTTTTGTTAGAGCTAAACTCGAATATGCTTCCGTGATATGGGATCCGCACGTGAAAAAAGATATCTACATGCTTGAGCTCGTTCAGAGAAAAGCGGTGCGTTTCATTTTTAACAAATATGGGCGTTACGATTCTCCGTCGAAGCTCATGACTGACAATGGCATTCAAACCCTAGCAGTTCGTAGACGCTTGGCCCGTTTACTCTTCCTCAACAATATTGCTACTTCTAAGGTGAAAATAACTACGTCAACTATGATTAAACCGCTAAGCACAAGAAGGACCCGTCACATGCATGCTCATTCCTTTCAGCCTATCTTCGCCAAAACTAATCAGTTTAAACACAGCTTCTTCCCACGTACAATTTCCGAATGGAATGCGCTCCCGGAAGCAGTGATACAAGCTAAAAATTTTTCCCAAGCGCTCCAGGAAAGCATCTGTGGCTAAGTATATGCATTGTATGGTGTGCTATGCCTTGACCAATCTGTCTTGTACTCCTTTTTATTGCTAATATTTTTATTCTTTGTATGCATGTGTAACAGCGTTATGTGTATTGCCAATTGCCCCTCCTGCTTGGGCCACAAACTGGCCTGCAGTATTCGCAATAAATAAATAAATAAACAAAAGGAAAAATCGCACGCATTCGACAAATCGATAACTCTGCTCAGTTTTCATGGACTCGGGAAACATTTGCAGCAGGTTATTTACTGAAGAAATAGACTGTGATGACAGGGTCATTCTATGATTACTGGAAAAGTGTTGGGGACAGTCTTTAACCATCTGCAGTTCGTTGTCGGGCTGCACCCAAGATTGTAACTCAACCACGGTGGTCAACTGTCCGACACTGCTTGCCAAGCTCGTTTGAGGTTGATTAACGTGCACTTTCTCGCTGTATTATGCACCATGTCTAATAGAGTAAGTGAACGTCTTTTGCTTGATTATTGTTCAAAGTGGGTAAGGAACATAAACAAAGATTTCGTACCGAAAAGGATTAATTTTCTGTGTGACGACGTGATGAACAAGATCGAACGATAGACACCTGGGAAGGCGAGCAGCTTTACACCCAAGGCTTTGCTCTGCTCGCAAGATTATATTTACTGTGCGACTGGATCCTTGCGTATGTGACGTCTTTGGAATGCAACGCTTCGTTTTCAGTGGGGCCTAAAGAAGACATTTATACGTGGTCCTGCAAGGAGAAAAAAAAAACTGCCCGTACTTAATTAACGTCCGATGTGGCCATTTTTATCAACTGGCAGCAGCATCAATTTAAATATATAATTGCCCAGATGGAGCACTGAGATGAAGAAGTAATGAATAACCTTGATCACTTACCTGAACGCTGACATCCTATATTCTCCTGTATGACATTACTGTAGATATTCTATACCATACTGTATTGTTCCCACCATATTCAAGCTCTTCCATTTATATTCCTTGCTTTAGCCTTTCTCTTCAATACCGTTCATTGCTTCATGTTAATCAGTTACTGTAATGCAGTCACCTCATTATAAAGCTATTACTGAATGTAGCTGACTTAAAGAAATTTGTTACTTGCAGACCTGGTTAATGCCAAGAGTAAAAGTATGTTTAGGAATGATTTGAACATTTGCGCCTGATTTAACAGTGATCTGTCTTTTTGCAGATGCTGTGTTCCTCCTGCGAAGCATCCAAATGTTATTTGCTTTGGATATTGTGAGAACTCTGTTGTCCAAAATTTTTTTCGAAATTGTTTTTGCTTGCCCTGTTTCGTGGCAGTTAATGTTGTTATCAATAGAAATTGAAGGAATATCATTAGGAATATTCAGGATTGTAATGATAATGTGACCATGTTTACTGTCTAACACATTGATTATATTAAAATAAGTCAAATTGGAGATTTGTTGTTATCCCTGTTAATATATTGAAATTGTGATGACAGGAATAGTCGTCAATGCAGTGTTCTGGTTTCACTCATTATCATAAAATAATATTGCCCATCTTTTCAAAGCATTGGTTCAAGCTTTGTAGATGGTTTTTGCCTACTCTTGTGCTTGTTGTTCTATTCAACAACACACGTGTTCATGGCAGTGTAGCTGTGAAAAATAATTTTGTAAGTTATGACTGCACTTCGTTGTTGTGCTTCGCTTTTATGCTGTAGTATCTTAACGATGACATTTAAGTTAAGAACCGAAAAGCTTCTGTGTCTTCATTGTACACTTAGTTCCGTAAGCTTTTGTGTTTTTGTTTTGCACTTTTAAATCGGTAAGATCTCGTAACTGACATGAGACAATGGATGAATTTCTGATTTCAGTGCCATTGACAGAGGTACAATTGTTTTCAAGAATGCTGGATGATTTATTAGTGTTTTCTAATGTATTAGTAGTGTTTTCTGAACAGCACACCATTTCCACTTTTTCTGAGTTTTTTTTTCTTTTATAATACACTCAAATGTCATTATAACATAGTTGCATCTCACATAAAATCAGGTGTGTTACATCCAAAAATTTGTTACGAAGGTTTATTTCTAACACTATATTGATTGCGAGACTACTTTCTGCTACTTCATTGTAACCGATCTTTTGTTATATCTGGGTTCGTAATATCAAGGTTTCAGTGTATGCCATCTGTGTTTCGCTCATGTATATCATTTGTTTATTATTGTATATGTCTGTGCATATCAGTTGATACACGAATGTGCTAATGACTTGAATAGTGTGGTGCATAAAATTAGTGTCTCCTTGATTGAATAAATGTAAAGTGAGCAAATCGTTCGGTGTAAGGCACTCGTAGTGTGTTGATATTTAGGTATGTGAATAGCGCTGTCCCATTGCGGCATTCAGTTTGTAGGAGTCATATGTAATGAATGAACAAGTGACGTAAGTCACGTATTCATTCTATGACGTGAGTGGTCGTATATAAGGAACTGGAATATTATCAGGTGAATGTTATCTCTGGATTTTGTTGTTGGGTTTTCATTAAATGTACATGATAACAGTAATCGGAAATGCGTAAACTCTGCTAATAAATCTCAAGCAACATGTCGTTGCGCTGTGCAGAAAAATGGGGCTGTGTTTTACGACATCAGAAACTGTGCTGCTATTTTAAACCTAGTAAGTGTTCTTTTTTTTATATTTTCAAATTTCAAGTGGTGCCTTTGCTGTGCTACTCTGTACAGAATCTATTATGTGAAAATAAATTACATTAATTAGTTTAATGGTTTAGTGCTTCATGTTTTAGCACATGCAGAAAATAATGCATCTTGTTAAGGTATGTCATGACATTTGAAACACTTTTTAAAATTGCCTTATCTTTTCGTAAATTTCTTAGGTCTCTTGTAATAGATTATTCAACAAACAAACTTGCTTTTGACCTTAAACTGTTAATAAAATTGTGATTATATTTGCATCTCATCCTGTACGTAAATGATGATCAAACCAAAAGCTTCACAGTCGATAAAGCATGCCAACTTATCAGAAAATAAGGTAAATATGAAATAAGTCCATGACACCTTCATGTAAAATCATAAGACGAGTGGTTCATAAAATATGCATTAAATATGTGCATTAAAATTTGAAAAATGTAGATCTAAGTCTTTCAATTTTCGTGAGTTTTTTTTTTTTCAGTGCTATAAACGAAGTTCGATGATAAAAGCACATGGATACTTGACGTGTCGAATGAGGCAATCATCGAAGGCAGCTGTCACATAAGTAAACTGTGCATCTTTAGTCTGTACATGAAGGCCGCACATTAGTTGCCTTGCAACGGTACACACAAAAAAATATTTAAAAATCTGTTTCGGCTCAGATGAATAAGAAATAGGTCCAGTTTCCAATGAACGCTCTAGCTACAAATGTTACCAATTTTAGAAATTTGCACACGGAAGTTAGGTTACAGTTTCTACACCCATCTCTTTGTATACTGGTGGCTTTGCATTCTACCGTTACATGATTAAGATTGAGTAGACATGCATGAAATTTGACACATTGCTCCTCTACGCAGTAGTCTGTGCATCGGAGCTGAATAACTAAAAAATTGTGGCACATATACCATGAAAAAGTATTTATAGTAGCATCAGAAGTCTTGCCGGTAGTATTGTGCGACTAATCTAATTTGTCTAGACATATCGAGAATGCGGTTTTTCTGTGCACAGATTATTGTGCTCACTACAAACCTATATATTCGCTTTTGATTTGCACATTTGGGCAAATTTCATTACGCAATTGTTTTTGTCATTTGACTAATATTATTTAACTTAAAAGTAAAAGTCAGCTCCACAGTACAAATATAATGCCACAGCTTTCAAAGGAAAATTTTAAGTACCGTAATTGTGTCCTAATTGGTGCTCTATCTGTTGGCAGCAGGAGTTTACAAGTATGAAATACACATGTACCTATAGAGATATTAGAACTTGAGTTAGAAATGTGTCGTTTCAGTTCACTTATACCACTGCAGTAACATGTCGTTCAAATAGGCTAAGGTTACCGCATACTCACAAGTACAGCAACTCCTAAATATCACTTGGTGCCGCACTGCACTTCTGTGTACACTCAAACCTCGTTATAACAAAATTGTGTCTTACAAAAAAATATGTTTGTTACATCCGAGAATTCGTTATAAAGTTACACTTCTAACACTATATTACAGGAATATTCTTCATTCACTTTCATTATAACCGATATTTTGTTATATCCGGGTTCGTTATATTGAGGTTTGAGTGCAGTGTGTGTCGCAAGGTTTTCATTGCCTTCTTTTTTATCTCTGTGACTTTGCAGGTTCTCCAATTTTGACACCTCGGGAGCAGTACCGTTCACTTGTGTCGGTAGAAGGTGGACTGCATTCGTGCCATCAGTGCACCTATGTGACCAAGTATAGGACGCACATGCAAAGACACCTTAGCAGACACACGGGCAAGCGACCCTTCCCGTGCCACCTGTGCCCGGCTTCGTTCGTCCAGAACACCGATCTCAGGCATCACATTCGCATCCACACGGGAGAGCGTCCCTTTTCCTGTGTCCACTGCAATATGTCCTTTAGTCGAAAACGCCAACTCATTAACCACATGTCCTCTTTTCATGTAAACGAGAGGCTCTAAAGGTCAAGCCCACACACACGCTTTTTTCAGGAGCTTAGTCAACTGATTGACTTATTTGGCTAAGGTTAACTTGTAAAGTGCCTCTGAGTGTTTTTGGACCCCTCAGGTTATAAGTTTCTTACAGCATATACCTTGAGAAAATCCTGTCGTGAATGATTCAATTTTAAGTATAATTGGGTGACTTTGTATTGATTCTGTAATGGATTACCTTAAATGCAGGTTATTTTTTGTGTTACACTGTTGAGGACATCATGGTAAATAAAGGAGATTAGTTCATCTATGTAGTAGCTCATCCCTGCATGTTAGTCCGCTTGGCATAACCCAACTGTTTTCTTAGTTGCGCCTTCAGTGGTAAGTAAGCACATTTCGCAGGTGAGCTTCTCTTCTACGTTAGAAGCACAGTATGTAACTGAAAAGCAACTATGCATTTTATAAAATAATGGTATTCAATTGAAAGTATTGTAAAGGCAAGTCTTTTGTAATGAAATACAAAACAAGAAAGTTACGCTGTATGAATCTGCTTGAATTCTACCGATGAGTTAGATGGGGTGATAAGCACCCGGGGAAAACCAGGGACACAAGAATGCTACGAAACAGTGACAAGTTCATCGCTTTCTTTTTATTTTGCTACAAGGTAAACTGGTGTGTGCAAACAAAGACGGGGACACAGAAGAACGAACAGAGACGGGCACAAAGTTCTCTCTGTGTCTCTACCTTTATTAGCACTCACCTGTTTGCCTTAAAGTACGATTCAACTCGTCCAGCTACATGTTTTGTCGAACCACATTTGTTTTGCTACCGTATGATTAGCTTAGCAGGTATAGATTGACATTTTCAGAGTGACTTGAGACCAGTAAGTCACTTAAAGAACACAAATTTCTGGGTGACCTTTCAGGCTTGAGACCAATAAGTGACCCAGAAGGCTTTTTCACTCTGAGTCTGTGGGGCTTAGGAGCATAAACCCTATGAACCCTCCCCCATTTGTACTTCTTATACTTTTGGTGTTGAGGTAAGATGCGAGAGGCAGATGACGATGACTAGTTTATCCTGCCTATTTACTACTGCCAGGTGCTTCCTTTTTTTTTTTTCCTAAAGTCTACTCAGCTGGAAAACAGACAAAAGACACTACTGCATGTGTAGCAGAAAAAACTTAGCTGCAAAGTAGCCCTTTTCTTTCCCATCGTGGTGCTGCTGCGTTAAAGGCCGTGTGCTTGAACTCTTTAGGTAAACAAAGCCATTCTTCTTTTCGGTTTTCATGTAGCTGGCGTGTCGTGTGTGACCACTGCCTTGAGCAGGTTACACCAGACTGTCTCTAATTTTCATTATTAGTATTTTCGAATGTACCGATATAGTGACTGTGCTCACAATGCTTACAGTAGCATTTATTCTGGAACTACTGCAGATGTGAGTGATAATGCCAGAATTTTCTATGTCACATGTACAAATGCTGAACCATGACCTCATCACAGATTACATTAGCTGGTCGACATGCTCACCAATATCATTGTACAGTGATTATTGCTTGTCCACTGAATATTCTTTTAAAAGGGGCCATGCTACACTCTTTCAACTGGCCATAAAATGGATTCACCAAACAAGCTGATCACGTCACGAATTCACCACCGCAAATGTTTTTAGAATCTGTCCAGTGCGAGTGGAGTCACAAACGTTTGTCGCGCACTGGTTCTTTTGCACCGACAAAAGTGCTGGGAGCTAAGCAGAGAAATGGCACGATGGAAGAAAATACGTCACGCGTGCCTCAGGACTTTGAGCGCTTCATCTTTTTTTCTGAGTGTGCGGCTTTTTAGTGCGATCGTACGTGCACGTGTAAAAGTGCCTTGATTCACGCAGGGCACATAAGGGATCCTTGCATTCGTGGACAAGTTAGCGGCCTCGCAGTAACGATCAAGCATGCCATGCTCAAAACTTTTGAGCCTGTAGCGTCATTAGTCGAGAGTAGAGAAAGGTTTTTTTTTTTAAGTTGACTTTGAGAAAATATTGTCAATTCTAGGCAGTGTGTGCTGCGAAACATTAGACTCGTATTTTCTCAGGAAGCTGGATGTTTTCTGATCATGGTCAAAAAGAGCCAGTTGGGGAGCTGCCTTTCTTTACTGTCACAAAGGTATGGTGGCCATATAACAAAGGTATGAAAAGGGCACGTTGGTATGCAGTTAGACAGTGCCCAGCAATTTTAATGTATCAGTTGCTCTGTATTGCAGCAACCATGTCCACCACATAAATATGGAACTCTGAGCTAGATGTTCAGGATAAAAGAGGTACGTGACAGGGCTTGGTGCTGAATTGTGACCTCCCAGACAATCAACAAGCGCGGTGAACTCATGGCCACTTCCAAAGCAAGACATTGGAAGGTCTCTTTCCAAAAGCAATGTACTGATAAGATTTTTCCAGAATTAAGTTGTTTTTTTTTTCTGATTTAACACTCGGTGATTGATTACTACTGCATGAATATCGATTCTTCCTGCTTCTTGAACACAAGCTGTTTTATTCAGACGCTGGAAAGAGAGGGGTCTCTCCTTTGCACGCTCGCTTACATTTCTCACCCTTTTTAACGGGTAGGAGGATCCCTACCCGTTTTGCACTGGAGCGCAAAAGGTGCAGCTTCGCCAGTTTATTTATTTATTTATGTTGGAGAACGGAAGGGGGGACCACGCATATGTGGCGGCACCCAGGAAGCCTTCAGTGGAAACAGTGAAAAGGTATTCCACGCTTGATTCTTCTTCCTCGCAACACTTCCGTCACGATTCTTTTTCTCCACAATTCTTTTTCTCGCCTCGTTCTAATGCAATAATACGCTCTCCTTCTCAATCCTTTTCGTTCTTCTTTTTTTTATCGTCTTTCCCTCTACTGGTTCTCTCGCCCATTCAAGTCCCACGCGAGGAAATCGGTGCACGTGTTGTGGGAGCGAAGAAGATCAAGATAGCATTGAGTTACGTAATCATATAAGTATCGTAGGAAACTACAGAAGAAAGTGCATGCCAACCGAACAACCCGCTAAAATTGGACTCGCTCGCTGGATTCCGTGCCGACCGGATGTGCCCCCGCGATCTCCGATGACAGCGCAGCTCTGGCCGACTGGCTCACCCTACGCCATCTCCTGATGCCGACAAGAGCTCTCGCTAAGTGGTGCCCCGTCCTCGGACTTCTCCGACCGTGTCCAGCTTTCCTACGTTATTCTTACTTCCGTATGTGGCTGTCCCTGCGCCTCTCCCTATCTCTATACATTTAATTCCTCCCCGTTCTTTTTAATCCTTCCTTACCCACCATCCCCTGCTCAGAACTGTGGGTGCCCTCCATTGAAAAAAAGGCAGTAACGGAACTGCGCTTATTTCTTCCTTTTCCCTTTTGCTAAACTTTGCGTGACCGAACCTCGAGCTTACGTAGCTGAAAATGTCTGTCAAAGTAAAACTGAAAATGATAATGGTACAAACATGGGTACGAATATTAGGGAGTTTTCGAATAGGGGCCGGGCCCCAAAAAAACAACGTCAAGAACACTGAGTATGCACAAAACCCAAACCGCGTTCGGGTTGGAGATTTCTCGAATTTGGGCGGGAGCCTCGTCCAAAGCCTAGCTGCCCCAAAAGCTTTGTGTCAAAACAAACGTGATGGCCCAAGAATTGGTAGAGTGTCCAAAACACCGCAGACCCTATTCGAAAACTTTTCGCTCCTGCTTGACCCAAAGCGTGCATACGCAAAATGCTTTGCGTTTGGGGCCTCAAACTCTTGTGGTCCCTATCCGAAAACTCTCTATCTTCCCTCGGTTTTTTGTGCTTGAGCTGCGTTTGGGCTACCGACCTGGCAACCATGGCCATGGACTCGCTAAACTAGCAAGGCGAGAGCTCTCCATCATCTCAATATTTATTAAGGAACATGGGAATTCGGGGCTGTTGTGTACGTTCGTACATGTCCCTTGAAACGTGGGTACGCTAGAAAAAGGGCGCAACACGTGCGTAAAGGCGACGAACGCCAAGTGTGGTCGCGAATAGCCGCGCGGAGCGTGAAACGCATACATTGCGGTAAACTAAACTAAAGCAGGTGAAGTTGGTACGGACTACGTGAGCGCATTGACGGTGTAATGAATTCTGCTTACACCATGTGTTAGTAACACATATCCGTTTGTTTTCTTCGTAATTATTGCCAGAGTGGTAGGTGTTCTGTGGTAAGGTCTTGTCGAATACGGTGTGTGTGGTTAGATTCGTGTGCAGAGTATAATTCTGAAAATGCAGCACGGAGAGCTTGAAATGAATGCATTATTCAAGCGCTAACCTGTGGGGCTAACTTGCAAGTAGTGAATTAAAATTTGAATGCGCGGTGTATATAAAGTGCATGCGGCGAGGAAAAGCATCGCATAGCGATGTTGCCGCCCTTCAATTAAAGCGTTATAATTTTTGGGGGCGAAGCATGTGCCAATAGTTTTTGAGCTGTTTCGTTGTTCTACTGGTAAATATCGAGAGTCGATGTGGCCGTTCGCGGCCGCGGTGGAACGCCACGATAGCGTCCCAGTGCGGCCGCGGCCCATTCCACCTGCGCAAAACGCATTGCTGGTGTTACAGAAGCAGTGCTACAAGCGCTGCTGCTGTACGTGACACGCACAGTAGCTGCGTGATGAGCGTATCTTCAGTTATCTGTGCGTGTGTGCATTGTTTTTGCGATTGTTCGTAGTTTCAAAGTGTGGGGTAACGCGCCGGTAAACCAAATCCATGTTCTTCCCGAGTGTGCGGATAGCACAGAAAGTGATTCTGTGCTGGCCAGTGTACTGAGCAAAAGGACACTCGGAGGAGGCATCCCTGCAGAGTTGTGAAAGAAACACACCAGGAGTGTGGATGCCTTCGTAGGGCAAATGCTTACACAGATCGTTCATAACAATGTTGTGAAGCTTCAGTATCTTCAAACTATTTAAATATCTAATATGTTGTACACGTTTGTCGAATGTCTCTTTATTAGGTTTGATGACTGCAACAGCATTACTTGATAGGCACTGAGGAGCAGAGGACAAAACACAATACTGTCTGTCAACTTATGTCTGTTTCAGGGTAGTGAACAGCTGATAAAAGACAACCGTTCTGTGGTTGTGTGGTTTGGTGCACCCAAAGGAGATGCACCCGTGAGCACTCAGGGGTTTCTGGTTAATTTAACGTTAGCACTCAATGCCCCTTCAGAAGCGGCAGTGTGCAGAAAAGCAACAGAGGGGCCAGAATTGTCTAGGTTGCCAAGTTTGGTCTAACCCTCTGAATGAATGACAATAGGTCCGTTTTTAATGTATATTACATCATATAAGTAGACAGATGAAAAATTTACTTAAAAAAAACAAAAATGGCATGTCTCCAGACTAGCATAGCTGGCTTAAAACGAGTGCTCATTGTGTTCTGTCTGTTGTGCGTTTTTTGTGCTGTACCGCAACAGAATAATGTACCAACAAGCCCAACTCGCCGCTTTAATGATGGAACAATTATTTCAAAAAATAGGTTTGTGGCCATATTTTAGTAAGTTGTTGTCTCTAGCAAAAATATGTTTGCTAAAACCTGTCTGTGTTTATTTGACAAAATAACAACATAAAAACGATTCTTTCATAATAAAACTCACTCAAGTTACCAATTATTATCAACTAGTTGAGGATCCACTCAAATGTTATTGATTGTATTTCCTATATTTCTCTACACTCACTAATATTACTGAGGATAAATTGCCTGGCTATTCCAGTGCATATTGTGCAGCCTTTATCATTGTTTTTTTTTGTATATTGCAAATTGCTTTTCAAAGCCTTGTATCGTTCATGCTTTTCAATGTTTCTGTCATTCATCTTCTGTCACAGTGAAAACGCTTGTGAAGGCAATGAAAACTTGCATTATGTGCCATCACTATGCAAGGGTAGTTTTTACTAAAATATTGTGCAAGACATTTCGTTTGCTTAATGGCACGACTCTTGCACCTCTGAAATCCTTCAAATGCACCTCTGAATTATTAGAACTGAGCACTTGCCGGGTTGTTTATGCACTAAAATGAACTTGCGCAAAAAAACGGCGAAAAAAAAAAGAAAGGAAAGAAAACTGCGAACGTGCATGTGCCTTTTTTGTCCTTGTTTTTTTTTCTGCTGTCTTGTAGTAATGAATCATCACTGGGGCTTTAAGAAAGCACTTCTCAAAAGTCAAGCAAAAAGTGCGAAAAAAATTGATGTTCCTAGCATCAACATATGATGTGGCCATGCCTCTGAGGCACTAACAGCACCTTTTCGAATACTGGGCTGGCATGGAAAGTTATTATGAAGAAACAAATGCAGAGCAGCCCATATTGCTTGTCTGAACATTTGCACCCTCTATGCTGCTAAGCGCCATTGTAGGTCTTCCACTGTGCGGTTACTACCAAATGAAAGTGTTTGAAGTATTTATTTCCCTGTACAGCTGGCGTCCTTTCTGAAAAACTTAACTGGATGGTACATGTAACTGGCTATTAAAATCAGTAAGCAGTCAATTACAGTGTTAGCAAGAAGTGCCCATCATTTCTTTTGTGAAATTTAGTCTTGTTTACGCTGAGGGTCAAATTATGTGTATGTGCACTGTGTGTGTGTTCATTCTGGCTCTAACAATGATGTCTATGCTGTTACAGGTGGGTCCACTCCTCCTATGGAGCATCCAAAGAGCTGCATGTTTTGGAATTCGCCAGAAGTTAATTGAGCCAGCTTCTTGGAAATCATCTGCTTTGCAGTGTTATGTCTGCTTAACCTGTTATGAGCTCAAATTTGTGAGAGTGCTTGCTGACTGCTACCTCAGATCGGTTATCTTGAGTTAAGTTGAATATCATGTTCCCATTCTACTGTGCTGGTTCTATATGAAATCATTTTTTAAAAAAATGGTTTGTTTCATATCATGAGCATAAATCAGCCCCGTACTTACAAATATTTGTGAGGGAATAGAGAGAAAAATAACCTTGTCAACTAGTAGTTTCTGTGACACTTTGTAACATTTCACTTTGTACTGCAGAAGGTTGATAATATGTGTGTAAATTTGGTTACATGAATTGCACTTTGCCCTGTAAAGCTTCGTGATTTTGGGGTGGGCTTTCAGATTTTGCACAGCCTTGGAATTATTATGCACCAACTGCTTTTTTTATTCTGCTATATTACAAATGAAGGAACAACATCTTCAGCAAGTACTTGAATGCATTATGCTAAAACATAATTGTTTGTGCTTGCCATGATGGTACACATGGCAATAATATTGACTTTTTATATAGTATTTAAATTGTTTCCAAAATGGACTTGTGTGTATTGGCAGCAGATGCTCTCGTGTATATATTCTAGCATTTGTGCGGAGACAACTGCAGGCTTGGAGAGACATGTGCTGGGTGTACTGTTCCACATCAATGGTACCATGTGGTAGGCCAAGAGTATAATGTAATTATAAATGCAGCAATCCTTATTTCTTGTGGCTGCAGCCATGTACGTGTATAGTCACGTGCAGTACTAGTTTGGGACACATGGTAAGTGTTGCCTTTCTATGCTTCCTGTGACATTGCAGTTTCCTTGTCTTTGGCATCCCTAGAGCAGTCCCCTTCGTTGGAACTGCATTCCTGCCCGCAGTGCAGCTATGTGACCAAGAAAAGGGGTTCCATGAACAGACACCTTCGCATACACACGGGCGAATACCCCTTCCAGTGCCACTTGTGTGCAGCTGCATTCACTGAGAACTCCAAACTCGTGGCTCATTTGCGCACCCACACGGGAGAACGTCCCTATTCCTGTGCTCACTGCAATGCATCCTTTTCAGTCAGTGGAGCCCTCAAGACCCACATGCGCACCCACACAGGAGAGCGTCCCTTTTCCTGTGACCATTGTGATGCGTCGTTTTCGCAGAAAACACACCTCGTTACTCACATGCGCACCCACACGGGCGAGCGTCCCTTATCCTGTGATCACTGCAATGCGTCATTTGCACAGAAAGCGCACCTCATTAGCCACATGCGCATCCACACAGGAGAGCGTCCTTTTTCTTGTGACCAGTGCAATAAGTCATTTTCGCAGAAACCGCACCTTGTTAACCACATGCGCACTCACACAGGAGAGCGTCCCTTTTCCTGTGACCATTGTGATGCATCGTTTTTGCAGAAAACACATCTCATTACGCACATGCGTACTCACACAGGAGAGCGTCCTTTTTCGTGTGACCATTGTGATGCATCATTTCTACAGAAACCGCACCTCATTACCCACATGCGCACCCACACAGGAGAGCATCCTTTATACTGAGTCCACTTTAGTGCATCCTTTACTCCTAAAGCTATGCGCAGCCACCTGTGGACCCGCAACAGTAAAGTGTAGGTGGAACAGAAAAATATGTATTCATGCTAATGTAAATATGTTTAAAGCATTCGTATTAAGAGAAGGTAGCATGATTATTACCAAGAAGGCTGTATAAAGCATGCATCCCAATCGCTAAACAAAAAAAAAAGAGTGTGGTACAAATGAGTTTCTAGATGAAGGGCTTGTGACAACAGATTGTGCAGTATTACTCGTCATTCAGCTTGTTATAAAGCAAGACCAGAAAACTAGAATGGGAAGGAAGTGTGAAAATTCTGTTCCTCTAAAAATCTGAATCATCTTCTAGGTCAGTATATGCACAAAATAAGACCATCTACAAAGCTTGATACATTTGAAGATTTGCCAAGCATCATAATGCGCTGGACATCACGAAGAAAACCGTCGGCGTTGCGGGACGGGCATTACATGTATCAATGTATTTCCTTACATCACCTCGTAAGACGTGTACCTTCTGATGATTTTAAGCATTGCCCTTCAATAAAAGATGAGGGCTGATATGTTTTCGACAAACATTCTTGTTTATAGAATATATCGCTGTCGCTATTGTGTACAGTGCGCCTGTATTTGCAGTCGTGCATATGCCACCAACTTCAGATTGCGAAATTTAGGGGTGCTCGCAGATGACTATCTCAAAAGAGCCTACTCGCTATGGCAACAACACAATTTTGTTTGGAAGAACTCCAGAAACTTTTTACTTTGATGGAGCTTTGTAATTTACACATGTGGTGCTAGGAGCACTTGTTTGTGTATTTTTTATTGATACAACGTTGCTGTAGATTGGGAATTGAGGCCTTAACAATTCGGGTGTTGCTTCAACAATGATTAATGTGCATGCTGCTCGGGTAGGTGTATTACTGGCAGCGTGGGAGGGAGGCATTTTATCATAATTCAAAAAGCTCTTTCCAGTTTTAAGTGAGATCGGGTTACCTTGCAAGAGTAAAGTATGATTCAGTAAAGCAGAAGATAAAGATAAAGAGGAATGCTGGGAGCCTAACCAGATAGCATCCGGTTCCCTACTCAACAATGGGGGCAGGGGGGATGGTGGCTGGGAAAGTAGGGATAAGAAACAAATGCAGTAGAAAAAATGACGTTATGTCATATAAGAGTTGGGCTGTGAATAAATGGGCGTTCATTCTTATTTTGTATTAAGATTAGTTCAATTAAAGTAGACAAGCCATTATGCTGACCTAACTTTGTTTAGTTTGGTGGCACATAGGGTCAGCTATTCTAGTGGCTTTTTTATTTTATTTTTTGCTTTGTTGTGAGCGCATGTTTGGGTTCCAACGCGTCACTGAACGAACCCGTAAGAGTTGTCCGACGCGCGAATGGCGAATGTGGTCATGATAGCTGCATGGAATGCATGGAGGACGGAATTGGCGGAACGTGAAATGCACACAGTATTGATCGATAGATATGTTGGCAGATAATGTGTGGCCAAAGTACCCTAGGACCGCATGCAGACGAGATATCTGCATTGATGCTCAAGTAACAAATTGAAGCAAACTGTCACAATATAAGGATACTATCAGGTAATGAGCTCGATTAACATATGACTGTTAGCTTTTTTCTTTTGAGAAGTGAGGCACAGACGTCAGAAGGGGGGTCCGGGCACCTGCGCCCTACCTAAGCTACACAACCTCTGTTCCCTAGCGGCGTGCAACGCGGTTTTGCGCCTATGTCGGCCCACCTTAGACAAAAATTTTGCCGACGCCCATGCATATTAAGCCTGACCACACGTGCGCGTTGCGGCACGCCAGTGCGTGTGGTCAGGCCACAGAACACCTATGGCGTGGCTTTCTGACGTGGTGCCCCCACCTTATGGAGAGAGAGCACAACCGCACGTACGCGTAGCAGCATGTCAGCGCGTGGCTTTCTGATACGGCGCCGCGCCCTACGGATAAAAAGGGGGCGCAGCATGGATGAAACTCGCGGAGCGTGCATATACTTTCTCCACAGAAAGAGGGGGGGGCGCCTACCCCCTCCCAGGCAAAAATCCTGCTGACACCCATGCATATGTTTAGCCTGCACACACGTGCGCGTTGCAGCACGTCAGCGCTGGCACCCTCTCCTTATGGAGAGAGAGAGGGCGCTTCTCTCAAACGCGCGCTAGAAATACTGTATATGCAACCTTTACGTACCTAAAGGTAGCATATACAGTAGCATATAACTCTAACGTGCGCTGACATGCTGCAATGCAGGCGCTGCGCCGTGCTTCCTACCGGGCTGAGGAAATTAGGCGCCTTCTTCCTCTTCTGACCACAACCACCACCAATGCATACGTGTGCTAGACCATACATACGTACGCGTTGCAGCGTGTCTTCGCGCGGCTTTATGACGCGGCCCCCTCTCCGCGCTGACACGCTGCAATGCATGTGTAGGCGCTGCGCCGTGCTTCCTACCGGGCGGAAGAAATTAGGCGCCGTCTTCCTCTTCTGACCATAACCACCACCAATGCATACGTGTGCTAGACCATACATACGTACGCGTTGCAGCGTGTCTTCGCGCGGCTTTATGACGCGGCACCCTCTCCGCGCTGACACGCTGCAATGCATGTGTAGGCGCTGCGCCGTGCTTCCTACCGGGCGGAAAAAATTAGGCGCCGTCTTCCTCTTCTGACCACAACCACCACCAATGCATACGTGTGCTAGACCATACATACGTACGCGTTGCAGCGTGTCTTCGCGCGGCTTTATGACGCGGCACCCTCTCCGCGCTGACACGCTGCAATGCATGTGTAGGCGCTGCGCCGTGCTTCCTACCGGGCGGAAGAAATTAGGCGCCGTCTTCCTCTTCTGACCATAACCACCACCAATGCATACGTGTGCTAGACCACACGTACGCGTTGCAGCGTGTCAGCGCGTGACTTTCTGACACGGCGCCGCGCTGGCCGCGCCCTACGGAGAAAGTGGTGGTGGAGTGGTTATAAGAGAAATGCACGGCGTAGCGCCTAAAGAGAAAGGGGTTGAAACCACAGAGCAGGTATATACTACCATGGTGAAACCAAGAAACTGTATGATCCCCCCCCCCCCCCCCTTAGAAACAGGATGAAACTCTATGGGGCGCAGTTTCGCGTAGCTGCGTACTCTCTCCACAGGAAAAGGGCGCGGCGCCCTGTGTGGCCACGCGCTAGCGCGATGTAGCGCGTGCGTATGGTTAGGCAGTTTCTTATCATCGGGC